AGTGTAGAAGCTGTACTGTTGCAGGCTTGGGGTTTCTTCAGCACGCACTTTAGTGAGGGATTCTGTATAGAGGGAAAGAAAAAAGTGAGGTTTTTAAGTCTGATATACAGTGTCATTTCAATGGAAATTCAGCAGTCATTTTTTTCAGACGTTTTGGTTCTGAGAGGTTCTGACTGCAAGTTCTGATTCTGTAGCACCAAAGAACTGTAAACTCTCGCAAGGTAGAAAGCGATAGTGCGTAGAAGAGCATCGCAATGTTAGTACCTCTTTTGATATCATTGCAACCAAGCTTCTGCCAAGCAATGTTGTCATTGTCATTAAAGAAGATAGAGTGGAGGCATGCTGCTGAAGCAAAGATGGGCAGAGAAGAACTTTTGGTTATAACCCCATCCCTCTTAATGGTTTACTAGGTGGTCCTTGATAAAGCTTATCATCTTTCTGTAAATGGTGAAAGATACTATGAAAACAGATTAATGTTTTATAATGCTTTGTCTGTGATCTGTTTACATGTGAAACCTTTTCACATTGTAGATTTGTCTAGTAGTTTCTAGCATATAGATGCAAAATTTTTCATTCACTGAAATAATTGGAAGATGTTTAAAATGCTGCTAGACTTAAAAGAAGTTAGTATTTATATTTAAAAAATTAGACAATATGTTTAGTGTTATTGAGAGCATGACACTCTAAGAAGTAAACGCTTCTTAGATGTGGCACCTGAAAGCGCATAGCACAATTTGCTTTTCTCAGGTGAGGTTTTGTGCTCCAGAAAAGTTAGCGCCAAGAGTATGGTGCTAGTTACCACACAAGCTTTTTAAAATTGCTTTTCCATGTTTTCTAGTCTTTTTTGCATTAGGTCTCACCACTAATGCAGTCCATTGTTGAGCAGACTGCAAACAGTGCTAAAGATGGTATCAGATTGGGGCAGTAAAGCTCAACCTATGAAAAGCTTGCAGCTCAAATTAAAAAGTGTGGCTTTCTAATTTTTGCTCCGGTTGCTGTCCTTTTGAAAATATTTTTGTTCTAATAGCCAATGCAGTATGAGGATTTAACCTAGCATTACGTCATCTCTGATTATCATCCTGCATAGCTTTTCTGCAGAACTCTCGGAAGAGATTGTGGCATATTAGAAGATTTTTACAAAGATTATAGCAAACATTTACTCTCCAATTTAGTATGTCATTTTTAAATAGTCTGTGGCTTTGAAAAGGTGCCTTATTCCTTATGTTTACTTCATCAGAAAATGAAATTTTAAAATCTAAAATTCTTAGTTACCATTCATAACTTCTGAATTGAGAGTCAGATGCTGCATTTACTATGTATATAACTAGGAGTCGGTGCTTTTCTTCTGCTTTAAAGAGCACACCTGAACCCAAAAGACCGTCGGTCAATCTGAGAAGTACTTCTGTGATCTCACAAAACACAAATTTTTGTTCAACCCCCTGCTCTGATGCTAGGTTAGTTTTCAACAATTTTATTAGTGGAAAAAATATAGTGGATTAACACAAAGAATGAGCGTAGTCAGATTCTTAATTTGTGTATCCCTCTTACCTGAATGATCAGCAGACCTGTGATCTCTTTTTAGGCGGATAGGACCTACCACAGCATTAGTTTTCCACATGTATGAAGAAGTAGCTCTTTTTTGCCTAGAGGTACAGCCTTGAGTACAGCGAGAGTTTCTGTCATTGCTGTCACAAATTAAAATATCACACTGGAGATAAACCGATGCAAAGCTCTGCAGGAACCTAAAGGCGTTAAATTTGAATCTTCCGTAGTGTTCAAGTGGCGGGTAGGTTACCACAGTGTCATCTTTATCACAGCTGTAACAGAATTTACACATCTGTTAAAGTGATCCAGTTACAATAATCATTCTTACTGATGGCATTAAAAATTCCAGAGCATTTAGCTATGGCATTTTTCTACATGTGGGCATACAATGATCTTTCTTCTCCCTAGTGCAAATTGGTGCATGATATTCCTGACTCCGTTTCTATGACTTTAAATTTCCAGGAAATTCAGATTCCAACAAGCATCTACCAAAGAAGATAAGTAGAAGAGATGCATGAATAAAAGAACTACAGTTTATATTTAGATGATATTTTCTCACATACTAGGAGACAATCATAAAAATAGTTTAGAGCCTTACCCACTTCTGATTAAGTCATATGTTGGTGATCCAAAATCAGGTTTTGGAGATGCTATGCAGGTATCGATGAACACCAAAAGATTTGGGTCAGTGGAATGAAGGCTAACTTGAGCAAAGAGAGTTTGGTTCAAGTCTACAAAATATGGGGATTGAAGTACAGGCTTGGAGAATGAATCTGAGTCATAGAAAGACATGCTAACATTGTATCTTCCCATGGCAGTTGTGTTTTGGATTATGTTGTTTTCTGTTATGTACATGATTTCTAAGGTTGAATTGTTTTCCATTTTGCATTTTGCAATAATCTCGATGCTTTTTTGACGGGTGATGATATTTCCAGTTGCAGAGGCAGTTATGGTGTTAGTGTAAGTGATGCTCTGGCCTTCTCCCTGTGGAAGGAATTACAAAGTGCTCAGTTGCTATTACATGAGCAGTGTAGCTGAAAGCAAGCGTGCTTGTTAAAAAAGCCACTCAGGTATACTTATCAGAGGCTCAAGGTACCTTTGATAATGCAAAACTTAATCAACCCGCCTCCTGTTTGTCCAAAACACTAAGCCATCCCCTGCAGCAAAAAGATGGAGTGTTGCACAAAGTGCAGTTGCACAAAGTGTTAAAGTCCCAAAATGGCACTTCAGTCACCCTTATTAAAACATTGCCATTAATGACTTCATAGGAATCCTAACTTCTGAGGGATTTTTCCCTTTCCACGTTACTCTAGATAAATGCCAGCCACATCACTTGCAGATGATGTTCAAGTTGCACACTTAACGTGGTGTTACTTTCAGTAACCTGGGTTGCAGAGTGAATGAAGCATAACATAAAAACATTTAGAATTAATGTTTGCTTTGATTGGAGTCTCCTGGGCTTCCCTGTAAAGTAGTCATTGATCATTGAGTTCTTACAGAGAAAAATGTTTTTTCTGCTTCAAGACTGAAAACATGCAATTGGATGAGCCATGTGAAAGTAAATCCACTGTTAGCTTATTCATATGCTATTTGTAAAGCTGTTCCTACAAGCTGTTGTCATTCCCAAGCTATTGTTAGCTTATTTCCTTAACTTTTTTTTCCCCTTTACCATTTTAATTGTTCCACAGCTGGTTAATGGGAAGGAAAAGATCACTGAATCTGTTACAACTGGGCTGCAAGATGGATCATTCAGCTGTAGATGAGTTTCATTATAACCGAGGGAGTCCAGGTAAGACTTGCTCAGAACAATTTTCATTCCCTCTGAAGAGCATGTAAGGGATGCTGCCATTGAAAGAACAAAAAGGAAGTTACTACAAACTATGCTGCAGTCATTTCTCACTTGATCTAAACCAAGGCCCATTCTTGAGCCTGTTGAATGGTTCTCAGTTTGCCTGAGCCTGATGCTGAAACAGCTCATACACATTTAAGGTCATACAGAAGTCTGAACAAAGTGTCATGAATGACTCTTAACACAGGTTAGACAAAACCATGTACAATTCATGTTGAAAGCTGAACTGTAAGCCCAATAACACTGAAGGAATTGCAGCCTTTTTAGGAATCAAAGTATTAGTGCAGAATGGTAGGTGAGGAGATTGGTTTATGGGAGACATCAGGGGTCTTACTGGTTCTCCTTTCCACTTCAGTGAGAAGATGGCAAATCTAGTGCCAAGTATAAAAAACAAGGAAAACTGTCCAGCTCAGGGGAAGGAAACTATAGCACACCCAAAACCTGCTTGACTAACCAATGCTGACTACTTCCCTGAGAATCTGAGAACAAAAACATTTAAATTAGCTAGTCAAAGAGTATATCTAAACATCTCAAAAAAAAAAAAAAACCCAAAACCAAAACCCCCCCCCCCCCAGATTTTGAGTGGAGCTGGCAGGAAAAAGGATCAAAAAACCTGAAGAGGAGGCTTTCTTGCTTTCTTTTGCATCTCTGTTTGAGAATTGCTTATGCTCTGTAGGTGAAACTAGTGTATTTTTCTGTATTTAGAGACTTAATGACTGCCAATATAAAGGTTTAAATCCTCAGGGTCAACCATCATTTATTTTCCATATTTGGCAAGGAGGGAAAGAACATGTGATAATGAGAAATAGCATCTTAGGTAAAAAATGTAAGAACTGGACTTACTCTTGGGCTCTGCTGAACTTGGCAATGCAATACTGGTGTACTGAGCAGAAAATCCTCTGTAAGAATTGGCATAGTCTGTAGCCAGCACAATGGTCATAACATTTGAAGAAGATTCAAATGTGGGCTGAGAACGACCACATACTTTTCCAATTAAGCCAGAGTTAGTGGTGGGGCCATCGTAGATTGCAACAAAATCAAATTGACAGTTTTTATCTAGTTCCAGGCTACAGACATAGAAAAAATAATTCTAATTATAAGGAAATCTGAGTGCAGAGAACATTACTCATACTGGATAAAAGATATCCTGCAGAATAAAGTGTCTGATGATTTCTAGTAAATGGAAATAAAAGACTGGAGAATAAAAGAACATGTAAATAGACATTATCAAAACAAAATATGGAAAAACCTTAAAGGCAAAAGATACTTGGCAAGTTCCTGATTCTGCTCTTGCTAGAATTAATTAACATTTTCTGTTGCTCTCATGCAAGACCAACTACATTGTTACTAAGTAACTCTTTTATATAATGCTTATTTACTATAAATAACTACACTTTAAAGTATATTTTTAAAAATATATTTAAAAAGAATGAAAAGCTTTTACAGTGTAGAGCTGATATATATTGATTTCTGAGGTCTCTTATGTATGTGGGTAGAGGAAGAGGAAGGCTCTTCCCCTTTTAATTAAATCTGCATTAGGGCTTGTCCTAATGCTTGCACCCTTGACAAAAGCACCGGGCATCCTCTGGTGGGCATTTGTCCACCTCTAGGACATCTTTGTTCCTGAACCAGCAATTGACTGTTGCCAGGACTGGCAAGGGCACAGATGGCAGCATGTAGCGATAGTCATCTCAGAGGACAGTGACAGAAGTAATGATTTCCTACTGCATCCTATACATTCCTATACAGAATGCCTATACAGCATTCTGGAGTCCACATCAGTATGACTTCCTCATGCCAGAGGAGTCTATCTTGAAATGGTCAGAAGGTACTTCAGTTTCTAGACCAATTCATCCATTAGCATTTATGCTTGGGAGTATTTAAGCCAGTGGTACACAGCCTTCCTTAATCCAAGGCCAACAATACTGAGGAAGTTATGTTCTTGGGCGGTGTTGCACTTTATTCTTGTGAGCATCTATTTTAAATTGAAATTACAATCCACTTGTTGAGACTGATGCTTTAAAGTGTGTTCCTTATGTAGCATAAGGTTTTATGCTACCGTTTTTAAATTCAGATTGGTCAGATTAGCCTGAAACAGCCATTTCATGCCTAGTCACCTGAGATGCTTTCTGCGCTCTGCTGACCCTACTGACTGATCTTTGCGAACTGCGATAGGTGTTTAGAGTCCAGCCTTATGTGGAGACTTCCACAGGCAGAAATCTGCTATTGCCTAGTGGAAATATAATTTGTCCATACAAATAGCACCTTGAATCGCACAGCTGATTCGGTGGAGTTAGGGCTTTGTTTTTTTTGTTTTTGTTTTTGTTTTTTTTTTAAAAACACTATCAGTGGCCAGCTCTATAGCATGCTCCAAAGACACCTTCCATGCATTTCTGCTTGCTTGACTTTAGTCTCACGCACCAATATCAAACTCTGAATGGAACTGCAGTAGCTGTAGGTCAATATATAGTGATGTGGAACATGTTGCAATTATTTTGTTATAGGAGCCAGCAGAACACCTCTGTTGTAAAAGTGTATATGTGTTCTAAAAGTGTGAAAGCACTTCTGCTTTTTGTGTTTAAAGTAATGCTTTTAAACAGAATGAAAAAAAGTATAATAGAGTATAGATGGCATTTACTCACAAAAGGTCATCAAACTGTAAGTTTATCTTCGATTTTTCAGCTGTTTGTATGTGCCAGACACAGTAGGTAAACTCAGGGTAAGGCCTGGGGTAGTTGGGACTGATAAATGTCCCATTGGGACCAGTTAAGTGTCCCCCACAATTTTCAATTTCTGAAATGAAGAACAGATACAATAGTAGCAAAATGGTTTATATAATGAACCATAAAAAGTATAGTCTAAAGCTAGGAATCAAGTGTTATGTCAATAGTAAGACTTACAGGATTCCATTCCTTCAGAAAAGCTTAAAGATAACATTTCTATATATTTTAGAGAATTTCAGGTCAGATGGATGTTACAAGATGAAACCTTGTACCTAATGGAACAATTCAAATGATGTTTCCACAAGTGCATTGAGTTTTGACTTACCTGATTCTTTTGAGAAGAAATAATAGAAGGTGAAGAAGCTTCTTGCGAAATCCTCCGAGTTTGTTGTTATGAGAAAAGTTAAACTGTCCGAAGATGATTCAAACATTGGAACTGAGTCAGTGTTGTTGCATACTTGCCCAAGAAAAGAGGAATTAGTTGAGGGACCATCATATACTTTAATACTTTCTGTTTCACAGCTTGAAGAAGGAGCAAATCTATTAAAAAAAAGAAAAAAATTGAGAACTACCTAAACTCACTGTTAGATACACAAGCCTCTCAGAATCCGCAACAGATTCAATAAATATATTACTAAAGCAAATATAGAGAAATATTTGGAGGCACTAATGTCTTCAGTTGAAATTATTAAGAAAGGTGTAGGGGTTTGGATTTTGATTTTTCTCAGCTATCATGCTTTGTAATTAAGACTGAAAACACAAGATATAGCAGGCAAATTTAAAAGATAGAATAGAAGAACAACAAAAATAATTACAAGCATTTCTAGTTGCTCATAAGTGGAGAGCAGCTCTGTAATATGTTTACTGCTTACAGGATCAGTTGAACTGGATTTCTCTCATCAGCACCATCTTATAAAACTGAATAGAAAGAGTATGAAAGAAAGTACACGATTTTCCACTGAATTAAAAAAAAACATAAAAACTGTAGGTCAACCACAAGATTTGCCTAAACTTAAAATTAAGACTATGTGACCAGTTTAAACTTTTTCAGTGTTATGTGTAAAGCAAAGGCTAAAATGCCTTAATGTCTTATACGTATATTTTTTTAGTTATTAAAAATTCAGCTTGGCCACACTAGTTTATTTCAATATTTTTTCTGTACCATATACTAATAAAAAGAAACAATACGAAAATATCTTGGAAGAAAAAAAAAATCTTGGAGAAAATACTTACTTAAAATAGGAGAAGATGAGCCTAATTGTTTGGTTTGAAGTCCTATGAATTTGCCAGACACAATTTGCATTTGAATTTAGTTCTATCTTGAAGGCTTTGTTGAGATCTTCGAAGGAGGCACCACAGCGAGGTAAACCTATTTTAAAAAAAAAAAAAAAACTTTCAACGATATCACTCAAGTTTTCTCTTCTGGTAGCGTTTCATCCTGGACTATGCAGAGATTATGGAACAGTACACCATGGAACAGGCATGCAAAGGTTTGTACTATTTTGGTTTCATCACAGATGAAGCTAATGGCAAAACTGGAAATTCCAAGTGACGTAGGACCCCTCAGCAAATCTCTTTGGCAAGGTTGCGTACTGCAAGCACATCAAGCCTCCTGTCTTTCCCCAACGCTGATTTCCTAAAGATTGTTGAGTCCAGTTCTAAGTTTTAGCCCTTTACTTTGAAGCACTGAGGGACCTAGGCCCAGGGAATTGTGTTTTTCAGATCTGAGCAGGGACTCCTGAAGGACTGTGTATATTTGGTACTGCAAGCAATTCTGGTCCTCCATCTCTGAAAGGGTCCTGCAGAACATGAAAAGCTTCAGAGAATGGCTTTAAAAGTTCAAAATCAAAAGTTTAGACTAGCTTCCAGACAAGGAATAAGTAAACAGACTAAAGCATTTTAGGGTTAGAAAAGAGATAACCAAGGAGGAAAGGAGGTGCTAGAGGTCTAAGAATTCATGGAGGGGATAAATAGCAGATATTCCAATAGCAAAACTCAGTTGCCTGATACGAAACTAGTAAGTTGTGATTTTGAAACAGACAAAAAGAATTGGCTCTTTGCACAACAAATATTCAGCGGTGAATCTTTTTGCTGCAGAGTGGTGTGCATGCTAAAAGTAAAAATTAAAACAGGTTGAATCCATGAAAGCAAAAGCCTTTGAGAACTATTAAATGCAAAGATAGCATCTCCTCTTTGGTTCAGGAAGTCCTGAACCACATTTTCTAGCGCCTGGGAGAGTGTTCTGGGGAAGCGTTACTGCAGGCTTGTTTCCGTGTTCTTGCCTGGGCATCCTCCGTTGACTCGGACTGGATTCAGGATGGTAGAGCTGTCAGAATTTTAATCTGACCTGGTTCAGCTATTCTCTTGTGAACAAAAACAAGATTGGAATTGTACTAACATCAGTTAATGAATGGTAATAAATTGTTAAGTTATTGCAGCAATGAGCATTGCATAGGAACCTTTACAAAATGATTGTCCATCAGCTTGGGCATAAGATCTCTCTTCTACCTTTCTACTTTAATATTATCTAAAAATAGTCTAGAACAACAGAAGAAATGTCCTATGCAGTGCGTGCAGTCCCAGGTTAAAAGCTCAGGCTTTCTCATGAGCTCCAGGGAGAGAAGAAAAGTTTAGGAGGGACCTGTCTAGTCATATATGAAACATCCCAATAGTAAGAGCATTACAGACTCAGCCTTGCCCTGTTCTCCCTGGAACCTCTCTGTGCCCCTCCATTCTGCTCACGCAGCCAGGCACTTCTGGAACAGCTGTGCAGCAGTATCCTACAATAGCTGCCCATCATTAATTAGGTAAACTGCTAATTGGAATACAGAACTGTGTCCCCAAGTTGGGCAACCAACCACTCTCTGTTGATTCTGATTGAACAAAGGAAAAATGCCCAAATCTCTTTTAAAATTAAACCAGCCCCGTTTCCCAATTAAGTCAGTGACTTTCCAAATTTATTCCTGTTACCCCAATACAGTATTAATTCGTAAAAGCATATTTCCACTCCAGAGTAAAATCTCTTCATATGCAAGTTTGTAGGTCAAAAAAATTGCCATAGCGAGTCAGATATTGGGACTGTCTTTCTTCTGTTGTTCACCATTTTTAACACTTGCTGACACATTCGGGTGTTATTGTTGTGCAGCAGTATGTTAAAATAAGATGCACCTTTATAGATTTGTTTGACATATGTTTCCCTTCAATTGCCCATAAAATAGCTGTTGTTCAAAAACTCATAAAAATTCAAGGATTAAAAAATATATTAGATTCTCATACCTGCGAATTCTATTGAGTTGTCTTCAGCAAGAGCTAGAGCAGCTAAGAGAGGCAAAAGGAAGAACTGCCTGAGCGCCTGCATTTTGGTAAGAGCTGAGGAGGTAAGGTTTTTCTAACTTATATATATCATGCGATTTCATAATCATTGTGCGTTACATGGTATCATGGAGTGAGGGCTTAATCTCTCAGTTACTATTTCTTTTTAACAGATAAAGAAGATATAAATGAGAAAATAACAGGTGTGCCTGGTTTTTTTAATATGTACTACTTGCAGAGAGTTTAACTATGCTTTCGTCAGCTCTGCATCTCATGGTTTCAAAGCACGTTTTTCTGTTCACTTAATTGAGCATGTGTTGAGGTCTGTTGACGTTAGCTTGGCATGTACAGAAATGTTCTGGGTGGGTTTGACAGACCCTGTGGATACATGTCCAGCAGTTTGCTCACAGCACTGGTCAGTAGGAGCTTCTTTGTTTCCTCCTTAATTTTTGACACCTACTCCTTTAGGCTGCATTGGGAAAATCATTCAGTGTCCTTGTTGAGGATTCCTCAGGTGATGAAACAGAACTATCAGAATAGCGTTGTCAGGAGTAATATTTCTCTATTGCTGGTGTATTCATGGATGAAAAAAGTGAGATTAATCTTACAGGTTGAAAAAAAAGATTGTACTGCAGCCACTTTACAAATAACACTTTCTTAGTCCCACAACAGAAGCTACAAAAAAGGAATCAGCCTGTCCTTCTAGAGGTAAGGAAACAAGCGCAGTCCCAAGAGCCTCAATTCCTTCTGGCAACAGTCTAATCAGCATAGGGCTCATGCATTTAGATCTCTTCTGCTCTAATATATTCAGAGTACATTGTCTGTCCTGGTTCCACAAGGACCAAAGGTCTTGAAATCTAGACTCTTTTGCTACAGCAGCAACAGAAAACCAATGTAAAAGCTTCCAGAGGTTGTGATAACGCCACTGCCACAGATGTGTAATTACCCTAACCTTGGCCTTCGTTGTGGTACCTACATGCGCGAATGGCCAAGGAAAACAGGAGGTTAGCAGTGTGACTCTTTCCAGTACAAAGAGCAAGTATCACACAGCTGTGCAAACAAAGGTGCCTTTTCAGGTTTACTAGTAAAAAGAAATTGCAATGCAGACCACCTTGAAACACATTCTGAACACTTTTCTTTTAGTTATACACAATTCAACTAACCTCTTTAGCTTTAATGGTCAGTATGAGTTTAAGAAATGTGATGCTTCTGTACTCCCCCGTTACTAGTGTCAGAATTACGACTTCTTTAAAACAATCCTCTCTGTAATTTCTTACTCCTTTTAAGGATTTTGAATGCAACTCACTGTACACGATGTACTTATGCTATCTTTAAATACAGAGTTACTGAATACATCTATTGCATACACAGCATCTCTTACATTACATAGCATTGGAATTCCGTTTAGTTTCCAGGAGATGCTAAATTTACATTCATTCTGTATAGCCTTTCATTTCTGAAGCTCTTCTACACACTTGCAAGCAATTTTCAAGTTGCTAACCACCATTTTGTAGGTCTGAAATGTGTTGTGTATGAAACCTAGTCAATCAATGCTCTTTCCATGAGGACCAAGAAAAAATTGTCCATGGCTCTTATGCTCTGGTTATAAGGTTTACGTAATTATAAAGAGGCTGGTATTTTACCCAGTTGGAATTACTTGTATGTGAATGATTAGGAAATGTTCTTGCCCAGGATTTGATATTAGGGATATTAAGGGTCCAAACCCTTGAGTACTGGCCCACTATTTCTGATGGGCTGAGCCAGGGCCAAGTGCTGGCAGTCACACTTTAAGCTAAGCTGGAGGGTGTGCCTGCACAGTTATGTCTCTGAACAGCTGTGCTGCTGCTCTCAGTACTCCCACTACGAGTCTGAGCATTCAGACTTTTTTCAGTTGTGTGTTAAGCCTGTGCTCAGACGGTGCCAGGTGTTCAGATGTCAAGATGTTCACGTATTAACAGCCCACTTCGAATTCCCTCTCCTACCTCAGCAGAAAACAGCTGGCAAGCCTTCAGGAAGGTCCTTTAAAATGAGAACAGAACAATATGTAAGGTGTTTTAAAATAAATAACAAGTCCTTAGTGTGTGTTAGTACAAAGGAACAAGGGTGCTGTTGCGAAACTGTTATTTACAGGCGCTTTCCCCATTGCCTGCAGCTGAGAGTGCAATAGGAGGGAAAACATGGTTTCAAGCCCTTTAAATCATTACCTGTGAGAAGCAGAACAGCAGGGCTATGAGTGTGACTGAGTTTTGTTTGACCTAAGTGTGATTAGGAAATACTCTAGCTCTTGAGTCCTGGCTACTTTTTACACCTGTCTGGCTTTACCGTTCTGCAGTAGCAGGACTCTGGCTGTGAGCACTGACCTGCTCAGCGCTGAGCAGGCCAAAGCCAAGGCTTAACCCCCAGATAAAAGGGGTTTGTTCAAACTAGAGATGTGAAGTCTATGTGATTTTGGCACTTGAGAGGGACTAAATTATTCATGGAGAGGCTGAGTTTCGGGATGTCCCTTTTTAAAGGGACAAAGCTCAAAACACAAAGCTGCTGAAAAGAAGTGGCTTTTTGTCTTTTATTATACAGCTCCTAAGCGCTTGGTGTCCTTATTCAGTACAAAGCATCTCGTGATGAGTTTGAGTAATCTGCATACATCTACCATCTGAAGTATTGGCCTTGAAAATGCTCTTCACACTTAGGCAAAGTTCAAAAATTTCCCTCACATAACTGCTGTACTACTGCATAATTCTGCACTTGACTGACAAGATATTCTTGTCTGTTATGAACTGGAGAAAATTATTAATTTCCACTTTTTTTTCACTAAGTCATTCCAAATAGGACAATTTAACATATGAAGCTTCAGAAACACTTTCTTGGTCCAAAGAGATATTTCTGCCCATATTACCATCTGTTATTTGAACAGATATTGGAAAGAAAGGAGATGAAGCAGCTGGCCGTAATAAATAACGTTTAGATCGAAAAGCTTTTATAATTCTATTCTACAGTAATAAAAACTGACATACGGAAAAATTACAATAGCTTAGAAGTGTTGCTGAGATTATATCTCAGCATGTTCATAATATTTTTTCCAGATATTTTGAGTTTATATTTAAAATAATAGCTAGGATATTATCTTGGTTACTAGGGATGGTTTATCCTTTGATTTATGTTTCTTCTTTGCTTTCAAAAATAGCTAAAATGATTACTCGGTCCAACGAAGTGATGTACAGCTGGTCCTTCAACCTTTTCCTGTACCTCCTTAAGGGTCTTTGGACAAAGAGTGCAGAAAGCAGCACTGTGCCCTCTACAGCTGTAAGGCAGGTTGATCATTCTTAAATGCTAAGTATTGGAGTGGTAGTGGAACAGGGAGAACTGGAAGGACTGTAAGAGAGAAATAAAGTCTTGATCAGAAAAATCAAACACCTACTACAAATATACTTTACTTGAGAATGTTTACTGAAGTTTAGGCTTTTACAGATTTGGACTATAGATCCAAAAGATCTGAAATTAAGCAATACAAGTGCAATTAACAATAAAATATCCTGAGATACACACCATCACAAAGCAAGCGCTCTGCTGTTGATTATGGAATTTAGCAGCCTACTATAATGCTTTTTTAGAACTCATTAGCAGATGTGCAACGTACTGATCACTTATATATAAGCGATACACAATATTATAATGAAAAGAAGCATTAAATTCTTCTGAGTATCATTGGCCCAATAATAATGATGTTTTCCTCATCGTCACTTGTGTCTTTTTTGCCTCTTGTCATACAGCCCTGGTAGCATCGGGAAGAATAATCATATTTATTGCACACTGCCATTTTGCACTGTAGATAATTTGCTGAGTGTCTTCTGAAAAAGCTCAGGGGTCTAAATTTGAACTGCACAAGCTTCTTGTCTAGTGAATAGTAGTTCCTGTAGGTTGGGTCTTTTATACACCTGAGAAAAGAAAAAGGACAAAAAATACATAGAATTCTCATACCAAAAAATATTGCATAGTTACTATTCTACTTGTTTCATTAATTGTAATAAAAGTTTCCTGCAGAAATTTTTAACAGTGAAGGAAATCACAATTCACAGCATAAAATTCTTGAACATGGATGTAATTAGATGGATTTTATGTATGTATGTTGGTATAATGCCATATGTATGCTATGTATGTGTGCTATATTTATTTATATATTTAAATATATTAAAGGAATTTTAAATATACAGGAGTTACTGTGTAGCCCTGTTATCTTTCCAAAGTTATTTTTTATTTCAACTTTAGAATTTCTGAAGAACCAAGAAGAAACAATTCCACCTCCCAAATCCACCAGAACCCATTAATCAGTTACCTCCTTCTTTAAATTTATTATATAGATTTTTGAAATATCTTCTGAGAATTTATACTAGTTTCCCTTCCCTTGTAGAATATATAGGTGAATTAAACATAAAGTGCCAACTAATAGAATTGTGTATTTTTGCTCCAATAACTAGCTCATTTAAAATCTTGCTGCTTCTAGTTAGTGGATAACTCAAATGCATTTTAGGTCTGTGGATCTTTGGTATACATATTTGTTATTGCCTATATGAAGTCAGTCACATAGGATGTGTTATTTTGAAATCCTTATTGAGATGTTTTTCTTACCCTCTTTCGATTAAATCGTATGTCGTAGTTGTAAAGTCATGAGGATTTGGAGAGACCACACATGTATCTGTAAATAGCATCAGGTTCGGATCTGGGCTGTAGAGGGTAGCACGAACAAACACATCCTGGTTTGTGTCAACATAGTATGGCGAAGTCTTCACCAAGTGTGAAAAAGATGATGAGTCATAAAAGGAAAACTTGACAATGTATCGCCTAGACTGATTTTCCAGGTATGGAGACTCTTTAACGTTGGGCAGTGTTCCGGTATCAGCGTTTGTGTATATTTTGCAGGCAAAGTTTAGCAGAGAATTCATATTTCTGTCATTGAAGTTGCGAAAAGTGGATCCTACCAGTGTGTTGGAATAGGTGATGACTCCGTGGGTAATCTGTTAAAACGTTAAGAGAGTTTAGAGCTGCAAAGTAACACTGAAACCTTTTACTGCATGTTACTAGAAAGTCAGGTGAGCCAGCAGATAACCGAGTCAAAAAAATGGTAAAAAATTTGATGTGATATTTTACCCAAAGTCATTGGCTTTGTATGACTTCAGCAAATGTGGAATACAGCCTGAACGTCAATAAAAAAGCTTTGTGTTCAGGTGTTTCTCTTAAGATCAGCAGGATGTCCACTGTTAGCTGCCGTATTTAGGATAGCTCGGGCAAAGAATGGGAAAGGAGTAGTAGGACAGAGTTTAGAATTAATAAATTAGTTAATATTCCTTTCATTTCTATCTTCTGAGGGTCTTTCAGGCAATGGGAGTTAATCAAAACTATTGATTAACTTTGGTAATTTTAGTTGCAATTTTGTTTTGCTATCGCGCGAAGACTCTAGTAAATCAAAACCACAATCCTGCAGGTCGTGTGGGCTTCAGCGGGAATGGTGTAAAGGATGCTCTGCAGCTTTGGCCTCGGGGTGCCTCGAAGTTGATGGGGGCACAGCAAATCTCCCTTAGTGCTGCGCTACCACGGCTGGTTTATACCGCACAACATCACATCCCAGCTGTCACACAGCACTGTACCTCCCTCATTTCTTGGTAAGTCCTGCCTGACACTGATGACGCTTCTACTATGTTCTTGTACACTTTTCCAGCAGAGGATGTACCTGGGAGAGATGTTCTTTGTGCTGGTGCTGTATAGCTCTGAACAACCTCAAAATTGTATTCACTTAATTTCAAGCACTGACTGTCACATTCACAAGGCGTATTTACCACTTGTGTCTCTTAAACCTTGAGCGTAGGGTTTCTCTTAAGGCTGAAATGAATCTGATTACCCTTTCCAATGGAAAATGTGTGTAAGTTCACTATGGTTTTCATTGAGCAAAAGCAAAAACATTCTTCAAAACCCCATCTAAATCCTGAAACTGTCACTAACCCATTACCTGGTAGAAAAGATGGGAAAAGGAGACTCATTCTACTTCCCCTAAAATCAGAAGTTTCCTAGGCACTTTTTTCAACTACATGAGAACTGTATTCTTGAGCTTTTCCTTTGATATAGAGTTATTTATAAGTTCAAGCGTATCCTCAGGTCAGTGTGTGTCACACTGAAAAACCCAAAGAAGGATGGCTATTACAGACATAGGTGAGGATCTTGGTTTTTATTTCATGCTGTATTAGGTCATGCTGCTAGCTCTAAAGTAAAAGATGGCAAAACCTTTGTACTTTTCATGACACTGACAGTGTAACCATGAAGTATCAGAATATTATGAAGCCTTTTGGGCACGTGATCTCTGGCGGGGATTGTAGGAGCTTTCTTTCTCCCCTGTTATAATCCCTTGCTTTCCAAGGAATCAGATCTAACTATGGCAGAGCCAGAATTTAGAGATTTCACTTTATGGTGGAACCTGGGCCATACTGGGACCCTTGGTCCCTTGGAAGGGACCTTGGACCCTTTAGCTTTCCCAGCATTCTGGGATACAGACTTCTGAGTCTCCTTGGGACTTGCTTCCTTACCCATTACCACCTGGGGATGTGTGCATGGACTCAGCTGTCCCTGCTCTGAGGAGCCAAGGCCTGGCCCTGAGACGGCCCAGCTGCGTGATCTTGGCTCACACAGCTGAGGAAATTGCCAAGTTGTGAGAAAGATGAGAGAGGTAAAATTACAGATGGGTAGGACTGTTGATTTGGGATCATTAGTAGCTCAGGGATTCAAGAGAGAAAATTCCAAAATGGACAGGTATAAAGTCTTAAAGGAAAAAAAAAAAAAAGAAAACATGGAGTCAGCAGAAAATGGCAATGGAGCAAAATCAAGGGCCTGTTTCAAGGAGCTGCAGAGGAACACACTTCTCATGACTTGACGGCTGCCTGGCCAGCAAAGACTCTTTGGGTGCCTTATCGGTGTGGTGAGTACAGTAATGTGTAGCTCATTAAACCCTGCTATCTGATGTATGTATTGGTGAATACATCATTGCCTTATACTTTGAAGCTTTACATAACCCACTTGCACAGTCTCTTTGTGCCTGGCTATAAGTGCCCAAAACAAAGTGATCTGAAAAGGGACGGTTATGAAAGGGAAGGGAGGAAGCATAGGGAGGGTTGATAATGTCATTATAACTTGGAATCATGAACTTTTAGAAACATAATTCTGTTGTGATTTCAATATAACGTCCACCTATGCTTTGGATGTCCCACATCCATTACCCAAAGACCTGGCATTCACAAAGCCATGTGGTGGCATCATCCTGCAGGAATCTTTACAAATATTTTGAAAAGTGTTGTTTGTAAATATCGTATGTCAAGAGATTAGCAAAGTTAACTTCAATAATAAGCATTCTTACCTGCCTTCTTGTACCACAGCCATTGTATGGTATACGGAACATGACGTTGTAATTGGTAATCACAGGCTTACATCTTGGGTCATTCAAGTGAATGTGCCATGCAGAGTAGCCTCTCGAACTGATATAGGCTCTCTTAATAATTGCCCGCATGTATTGAGGTAGGCAAGTAAGGGTTGCTGGAGGAGAAGTTGTTTAATGTTATTAAATTGCATTTAAGCATAGAGTAAAATGCAGCACGTATTAAATATCGCTATGTTTTACAAATGCAAACATGGGCTTTACCGACTAACGTGGAAATAACCACTGAGCGGAGAGAAAATGAATTTCCCTTTTTCTTCAGTGGTGTAAGCATTGCCATTGAAAGTTCACGACTCTTTCCTACAACTAACACTGCAGTTACACAAATTAGTTCTGTCTGTCCCTCTTGTGGGAAGGGGGTGAGCTTGCAGCGACAACCCACCGAGCTGTTTCTTTGGTCAGCAGCCTGGCAGTCTCCAGGCAGACATTTAAAACAGATAAATGCGTTTCTTTCATAAATTGTGCAGCTATTGGCCAGCTCATCCCCTTGATGCTGCTGAAGGCAGTCTGGCTGCCAGCGCCTTGCCCTGCTTCCAGCAGCTGCAGGGGCTTTGGTGGTGCGAGCAGTCTCTCAAGGTCCCGCTTCCCAATTTCTCTTGCAGTCAGCTACCTTCTGCCATCCTCTGCTCTCTGGAGTCATCTGCCTGTGAAGACACTTTCTCAAAGCTTGCTATTTATGCTGGAGCGCATCTATTCTTGACTTCCCTGCGCTATCTGGCATGGCAGCATTTAAAGTTTTGTGCTTTAAGGAGTACTCCTCCAGCAACCCAAGATATGGGGCTTGCCAGAAACACCACCCAAAACTTATGGCTTCGAAAAAGTCCAGCAGCGAGCCTGCAGAGAACAATAAGGCAGGCCTACTGAGGGGGAGAGGAGAGACGCAGGTATGTCTAAAACACAAAGACATCTGAGAAAACTGCCAGACTTTCCTGACTTATATCTCTTGCCCAGCATACAGTGCACTTGTAAAGGAAAGTAATTACAAAAAGCAAAGAATGAGAAAACATTACCATGACTTGTGGATGCTGGCACTGTTTTTAGATGAGCTTTTAATGCAAGAAAATAAACAAATAATTAAGACTTGAACCATAAACATTTGTGCTGGTATGTAATCAATTAACATACATTGTAATCAACTGAATGCAGTAAGACTAGGAGATTTTATAGCAACAGTTATCAGGAATGTAGTTGTCATGTACAAAAGGCTCATTTTGAAAAAATGTGCAGGCTCTGCTCATTTTAAAAAAAATGTGCACTGAAGAGGACAAATATGATTGGCTTTAATGGGAACAAGATTTAATTATTTGTATTCATTTGTATAGGCAGATAATTTCATGCTCAGGTGCTTGCTTTGCATCCAAAGTTCAGCTTCCTGTATGTTATGTGCACAGGAATATGTGTTTTATTGACACAGCCTGAATGTCCTTTACCAACGTGTAGCTGATTGGGCCAGACATTCAAAGGAGAACTTCGTCTGCTATCTAAGCATCAGAGACACAGTATTGTTTGATTAATGAGCAGAATCTGGAATTTCATGTTTTTCAAAAAATGAATACCACTGTAGAAATTTTTATCTGTGGTTTCTTATCTAAGGCCAAATCTCACTGAAATATCAGAAAGATTCTCACTGATTAGAAAGGGCTTTGTCCTAGGGGCTATAAATACACAGACATACTACTCTGGCACTTAGGTAATTGCTTTAAAGGAATCATGATTAAAAATATGATTAGTCTTTTGGGCAGAGATGTTGCATTTTGAGCCATGTTTGTGCTATGGCTGACAGGGTGAGGCCCACGTCCAGCACAAAGAACTTCAAGGCCCATCTCTAAGGGAAGTATCAGGAGCTGGGTGCTGAACTGGCACAGGGACCAGGAACGTGACATGAGTGGAAAAAGACTGAACTAGCAACCATCCTTAAGACTATGACTACAAATACTGTTTTTGCAGGTGTCTGTAATAACGTTCAAAGATGGTGTCCGTTTAAAACACCTTTCCAGTTGTAAAACATACCTGAAGATTAGGAAGAAAGAAAGACAGTGAAAGACAAAAATCAGGTCCTATATTTACAAACTAGGCATGATGGACACCTGACCCTTCTGCTCACTGCTCTCAGGCTGTAAGGATATTAACAGAGAGGCACAAAAGGGGGACAAACCCCGTGGGTCAGCTGCACATAAGCAAACGGGCTGTGCTGTAAGCTAGGGCAAATTGGCATTACTGGTCCTGAGTGTCTACCAGCCTTGGAAAGGTGAGCCTAGAAGGGTTCTCACACATTAGGAAAATCAGCTGTATCTGAAGCAGGAATCAGAACGAGCACATCTACATGGCTACCCCAGTGCTTTTCAGCATAGCCAGGACAAGACAAAGGAGATGTCTGTTGTTGTATAGTAAAAGGTACTTGCTATTTCCATGCGATTCAACTATTTTATATAAAGGACAGGAATCCTGAATCTAGGCAAGCTACTGCATAATTGCAGGCTGCTTTTTAAATAGATACTTGATAAAGAACACTTATTCCACTGTTTACGTGAAGTAACGGGTTTCTATGTGACAGGTGGAGAAGCTGGTGATTCCAAAAGAAAAAAATAAAGCAAAATGAGACACCTTTATAAAGCAGATGTTTCCATAAGCATTATATATTAATGGAGAAAAAACAATTATATCTGGGATGTGCTGTTACAGTGAAGCCTCCGGGGGAAGAGGCGACTTGCAGGAGACTACTACCACAGGTTTACCATGCTTTCTTTGAATTTCCTATCACATTCCTGCATTACAGTCAAAATTTGCATAATCCTCTTTAAAAAGAAACAGCAGTGCAACTACAGACTCATAGCTTACAAGGCCCCTTGTTAGATTTACCAGCTTCAAAATACAAAAAAGAGAAAATGAAATAATCCGCAGTGTCCTCAACAGATGGCTGTTGAGAATGGATTGGTCAATACTCTTAACTACAGAGCAACAATTTTGATGACAACTGCTAAGTCAACAAAAAATCAGGTCATCAGATGGCAATCAAAACCAGTAAAGTGGCAACTCTAGGTTTATCGATACACAATTTTCGGGAGCCCAGAGATCGCTCTGTAGATTTTCAAGCCACCAGATACGTGACTATGAGTCTTACTGCCATGGATTTCTTGCGTTATAGCTTTGTTTAGAGCTGAGATTCCCTTTAACGTTGCATTTTTTGAGTGGAGGGTGTGGCATTACCCCTTTAGAAACCATGGTTCACAAATAACAACGCCAGCACCTCCCCAGAGAGGACAGTTTTGCGTGTGCCCCCGCAGTGCAGGGCACTGCTCTGAGGAAGAGCATGCCCCTGCCTTGCAGGAGAAGGCCTCACTGCCTTCCCCAAAGAGGCACTGGTTTCAAGCAGCTTTTGCTTGCAAGAGTTTCTCTCTGCCTCTGCTTAGAGCATGCAACCCCTGCCATGAGTCAGTCAGGAATATATGTGTGAGCTGGGGATCCTGTTGTCTTTCCTGATTATATAGTACCTCTACTCATCATGGTTACTGTTGAGAGAACCAGTAGTTTACTCCCAAAATTAAACATTAAACCCATTATACTAAAATTAAAGTAATAAACACCTGATGTTTTAGCTGTAGTATCTTCTGCAGGGGCTGATCAGAGACATGAAAGAAAATAAAACTGCAATTCAATCATTGTCACAATACTGTATAAACTTGATGTATCTGAAACGTAACAGAACTGCAGGCTCCCTTTCAAATGATCATCGGCCACTACATTTGGAAGATCCTGCCACTGCAGATCCTACAACACAGGACAAGCTTTAAAAAAATCTGCCTGGAGCATGAGGAAAGTCATGCAAGGCCCCTTGCTGCCCGAAATGCGGGAGCAGCCTCAGTGGGAGGAATACGCATCCCACGTGCAGGCAGATTAGTACAGAGGCCTACGAGATTAACCCTGAAGTTGATTGCTAAATCCATGAGATTATACAAACAGTGGTGACTGGAAGCCAGTCAATACATTATCAGATTACAGTTTTGATATATAACTAAGCATGTAAACCAGGATAACACTGCATTACTTACAAGTGGTAGTGGCTGCTGGTTCAGGACTCGGAGAGACTGGTAGAGTTGAAGAAGCTGTTATTGTGAGGGAAAAAAAAAGATGAAATTAATTATTGTTTAAATCTTAGATACATTGATGACTTACAGGGAAAACAGTAAAATTGTAGCTCATCTGTGCTAGACCAAGCAGTCTTAAAATTATTTGGCTCAGGCATCATCACTGCATACCAGTAGCCTCAGCAGCTTCCAGTATCATGTGAAATCGTATGAGTAACTAGGAGACGTTGGACTGTCTGGCTGAATATAGCTAGAATATAGAGTATATGTCTAAGCATATACACCATTTTGTAATTGCCTGTGTGATGGCCTGTATCACCCACTGGAAGACCCTATTGCGAGATTATTACAGCTAATTAATATAACCAGTTATTTATCCTCAAAGTAATAAATACCTGCTGTTTCAGTTCTAGTATACTCAACAGACACTGTCACAAGAGAAAGCAAAAGCCACACTTCACTCCTTAAAGCCATAACCATGAACATAATGGAGGCCTACTGCTGTGCGCTTCTTGCGTTATAGCTTAGTTTAGAGCTGAGATTCCCTTTAACGTTGCATTTTTTGAGTGGAGGGTGTGGCATTACCCCTTTAGAAACCATGGTTCACAAATAACAACGCCAGCACCTCCCCAGAGAGGACAGTTTTGCGTGTGCCCCCGCAGTGCAGGGCGCTGCTCTGAGGAAGAGCATGCCCCTGCCTTGCAGGAGAAGGCCTCACTGCCTTCCCCAAAGAAGCACTGGTTTCAAGCAAGGATCCTGCTGTATTTGTATATATATAGTACCCGTGCTCATCACAGTTAAATAAATGACTACTTCTCCAATATTTGGTATTTCCGTTGTCATATGCTCTGTAGCCACTGTCCCAAGAGAAAGCAAAAGGCACGCTTCAGTCACTTTGGCATTTCTGAATGAGCTAAGCAAAGACTGTCAGTCCAAAGAAAATGAACGTGGCACTGACAGGATGACCACGACTTCTGCGCCTCCAATGTTTCTCCTGAGGCTTGCCATGTAGGTACAGTACGAATCAGAGATTCGTTGTTAATTAGGGCAGAATCAGGTTTCTCAGGAACCGTCAGCTCCAAAGGCGGCCTGGCACCAGAGAGAGGGGAGGAGAGAAGCAAGGTCGAGGAGGAGGAGGAGGACTCGCGTCCCTGAGGCTGCGGGTGTGGCACGAGCCCTCGGAGACTCTGGGCAACTGCCCGCAGGCGGGGAAGCCCCCC